TACCAGATGGTCTCGACAGACCCACTGGAGATGGTAGCTTCGGATAAGAATGAGTGGAGAATGAGGGAAACGTAAGTATATGGGGAAAAGACAGACGAGTGTGAAGATGACTGGGTCTGTCGAGACCATCTGGTACCTCACCTCCTTCCCCGCTGTCAGGCGACAACAATGAAATCTACATGGATCTCGGTAACATATACAGAGAAAAATATCTGATAAATAAGTGTGTAGAAAGGATACACAAAACTATGGTCGCGAAACTCAGTTTTAATAAAAGTCAGTCACAGTTCTGAAAACAATGTTGAATCATCTAACATTATCCTAAAAACTATTTTCGAAATTCGATTAGAATAACATTACAGTTAAGATAGCGAACGAATGTCATTTCTTTTGTTTTGTTAAAGCGCCCGAACAAGTACTTGATGATAGTGACGATATCTTTCATCTATACACATATTTAGAGTTTTCAAAGTCAGTTGATGATACGTTACTGTCAAAGTGTTTATCTATTTACCACTAATGAACCATACATACGAATTTACGAACACTTTAACACTACCATCCATCCCAAAATACAATCGAAAGAGGATAGTTTAGCTTATGTTTCCATAAGGAAAATCAGACCGCCAAAGAGTGATTGCGAATCATGACAGCCGTGTCCAGGAACTGAGATATACAATTCCTAACCTATCGGTCTTTCGGAATTCCTATTTCTCAGTTCTTGGATAGTCCTCTGAAGCACATCAGCCACGACGTTCATACGCCAACTTCAGATCTTATCAACCACGTTCTCTCATTTTCAATTGGAACACTTAAAAATGTCTTCTTTTTATCAACAACCCGTTTCTCTCACTTAACAACCCCTTCTATCTGAATCCGTTACTTGACGAAAACTCGTGTGAGACAAATGGTAACATAGTATTATCAAAATACTACAGAACATAAGTCATAGAATAATAATATCGTTCTTTTCCCCGCTCTCGCCTTCCACTAGGGCGAGGGTGGCATGATTATATTCCCCGATTACTAGACATTTGTGCCCAACGACATTTGGGCGCAGTGACATTGGGCGCATCTACGACAAGAGCAAACAGAAGTAGTGCATTTGTTAAAGCATGCTGCAAAACGATAAAATTCTCTTTATACAAATTTTTATGCTGTGAGAGCTTTTTCTATCTTACTCATATCCAACGGTAACCACTGTTTCTTTAATCTTCATTGATACTCACACTCACACCGGCGTCTTTGAACTTCAACTATCGTTGCGCCCAAATGTCGGAATTCCTATTTCTCAGTTCTTGGATAGTCCTCTGAAGCACATCAGCCACGACGTTCATACGCCAACTTCAGATCTTATCAACCACGTTCTCTCATTTTCAATTGGAACACTTAAAAATGTCTTCTTTTTATCAACAACCCGTTTCTCTCACTTAACAACCCCTTCTATCTGAATCCGTTACTTGACGAAAACTCGTGTGAGACAAATGGTAACATAGTATTATCAAAATACTACAGAACATAAGTCATAGAATAATAATATCGTTCTTTTCCCCGCTCTCGCCTTCCACTAGGGCGAGGGTGGCATGATTATATTCCCCGATTACTAGACATTTGTGCCCAACGACATTTGGGCGCAGTGACATTGGGCGCATCTACGACAAGAGCAAACAGAAGTAGTGCATTTGTTAAAGCATGCTGCAAAACGATAAAATTCTCTTTATACAAATTTTTATGCTGTGAGAGCTTTTTCTATCTTACTCATATCCAACGGTAACCACTGTTTCTTTAATCTTCATTGATACTCACACTCACACCGGCGTCTTTGAACTTCAACTATCGTTGCGCCCAAATGTCGGTATACCATATCCCCTTAAAACTGGTCGATTCTATTTCCACCTGATCTTTGACAATTCAGCGGAGAAGTGAATCTAATTTCGTAAGAAACTGTGATCGTGCCTTCAAAAGTTTGGGTTTTAAACCTGGATTCTGGACACCTTGCATGAAATGGTAGGAAACTGGCGTATTCCACCTGTGGTACGTTTTCTAGGAGTACTAGACGAAGATTCTTCGTTAAAAATGGCACACACACACAAATCAAGGTACGGAGTGTTGAAGATAAAGTCGTTGACGAGGTTGTAGGAGAGGTTGATGTTCTTCAGTGTTTGAGGTTTTCAGTTGACGAAGAACTCGTTTTGTTCTTCCAAACTCAAAAATCATCGTGTCCTTTTAGCGCATTTTCTTCTTTTTATGGAGAGAAAGAATCAGACAATAGACATATCTTATCGGTAGAGCAATGATATTGTCTGTACATATATCTCCCATTTTTCAAGCTGTCTGCTACGCTCTTTACGTGTCCTCCATCACTGTGATTGATTCGCCGATAGCCTTTCAGTAGATTCTCAGCAATCGTTTTTGTATTAAAGAAAAACGAATGACTCTCTGTGTTTTTCTATCACTAAAGCTCAACCGGCTGTCCGTCTTCTTTGTCTTGATAAGAATTAAATTAATACTGAGAGCTAATTGTCTAATTCTGTCGTTTAGACCATTAAATCTTTCACAACATCAATATTCTTCAATCAGTATTCTTTATTCACCATTGAGCTAAATTCTCAAATAAATTTGTGATTTTACACAAAAACTCGAACAACTGCCTATGTTAGTCTCAGTTCGCCTAAGTAGGCTTGCTATTACTCGCATTTATTCATATACCAATAAATAATCTCACACTCACATCTACCTGCCTTCCGAATAAATCTCACAGTAAACAGTAACTCACCATCCCGTATGTTTAGCTAAATAATGTCATAATGTTTTCTCTTTAGTTTTCGTGCATCCTTTTCATGATAAATTTTAAGAATACAGTGAAAAACTAGCTCAGATGGAATAAATCATTTTCCTGCTATTTAGTTGTGCAGAACCCATGCATAAAACCCAAACGTCTGAAGATATGATTCACAGTTTCTTAAGAAACTTTAATCATTTTTCCGGTGAATTGTCATTGGAAGCTCTGATATATATCAACATGTTGAAAAGGTTGCTTTTAATATTTCAGAAACGTCCTCATCTTCGTCTTTTTATACTGATCGAGGTGGCGTCTAGAAAATCTAGCCACTTCTATTTGTACCATATACCTTGACCGTCTTCTATGAAATGTAAAAGAAAAAACTTGTATAAAGCGCTAGAATGTGTACATAAATAAAAAATGTTTCAAAGTTCTCTCTCTTTTTATTATAATACTCTTAGTTATCAAAATCGCGCTAGGCGCGACAAAGGCAAGTGACAGATCATTTTTTCGCATTTTATTGTCCTACCGACGCTCTTCGATTTCATTTACTTCCAAGTCTTATTTTAATAAGAACTAAGTTTATTAGAAGAAAAGCTACATTGTATGTGAAAAGTGTTTAGTAGAAGTACAAGAGACAGGGCCGCAAATACAGGGAGGGTTAGCAGTCCCTGAATAATTGAAAAAGCTGTTGCTAATTTATCCAATATTCCTCACACAACATTTTTTTTTATCAATTTCACACTACCTCAGAGAGAGAAATTTTGTTTTACATCCCCCTAATGTTCGAGTCCTATTTGCGACCCTGACGAGCGATAATAATACGAAAGGTGTATTACGGCATGGCGTATTTCTTTGTCCACTCTTGTGCTATTTCGTAAAATTTTTTCTTGTTATTTCTATACAAAAGAACTGCTTCAGGTTCCATTCCGTGTTCTGGATTTGGGTCTGTGAGCAATGAACATACCGATAACAATGCCGTTCGGATGGTTAGAGCCGGTGACCATTTATCACGTAAAATATCAAGGCAAATGACACCATCATTTGAGCTTATATTTGGATGAAAAATTTTTGTAGTAAAACGTATTTTCGGTGGTTTAAACGGATAATCAGTCGGAAAACTAATGCTTAACTGAAACTTTCCACCTGCGTATGCACTATCCGGTGGTCCATGAATAGTTGCAGACCAGTTGAAAAGATTGTCCAACTGTTGAGCACTACACAATGGTGGTGGATCGGTTTCCATTTCTCGCAATTGCTTTGTGATACATTTTGTTAGTGCCATCAGTAGTGCGAGAGGCGTACGCTTATCTTTTACAGGTGAAGAAATGCTTTTCTCCGTCTTTATTTTATACGTGTATTGGTATAACATAAAAAAGAGGAAGAGAAAAGTCATACATTTATATTGAATAATAAAACGGAAAATAATCGGTTAAATAATCCTAGAATTTAGAGAAAAAATGCGTCAATGCATATATAAAATGTGAATTATAATAAATAATCGTAAAAGCTCAGTTTGCTTTATGATAAACACCTGTACAAAAGTATGACTTCCTAACCAGAACGAAAATGATGCTTTATTTTTGTTAAAGAAAGTAAAAATATTTATTTAGTTAAGATATTAAATTCTTTTTTATCCAATTTTTTCCGCTCCGTTGAATTTATTGTGATTTCGAATGATAATGGCTTTGTGTTATAGCGATTCGATGCGCTATACTTTTATTCTGTAATAGTTATATAAAGCAGGTTTCAACTGCCTTCAGAGCACATTACCATACATAAATCTTCTCATTAGAGTTCTATCGTAGACCGTAAATTCTTTATCTCACATACGACAAGATGCACATATGTTCCATATACAGATTCTGCATGCCACATTAAGAAAAAGACGAATTTACGCTCTACGATAGAACTCTACTAAAAGATAAAAGAAAAGAAAAAAAATACAATATTTTTCGCCTTTTTAACATAAACTTTGATTTAAGGAATTAGTTTTTCCATTCAACAAATCCAGTTAGTCACAAATAATATGGAACGATAGAGAGTTTTTGATAACAAATATTGTCAACAACGAAAAACTAAGCAAAACTGTCATCTTTGATGACACAGAAATTGTCTCTGTATTCAAGCAAATGTGTAATCCTGTCATATGAGTTTTCAACCTCTGAAAAACAGAACTTGATCCTGTGACACAAAATCCTAGCAAAATAAGAGAAGACCGATTTAATTTTGACTCAATAAATGAATAAAAGTTACCTTTTTCTCTTATCAGAAAAAATGTTTTCAAGCTTTTAAGTGCTCTGGTTAGTTTTTTTCAAGCAATCATGTCGTCCGTTGATTTATCGCATCCGATTATTACTAACATTCCGGTCGGTGGAGCCATCGGAACAGCTCTTGATCTACTGTACGGCGAAAGGAAACAGCTAAGTAGTTGTCCATTCAACAGAACACAATTTAAACGGTTATTAGAAATCTTATCTATCGATGTTCCCTTTCCTTTCTATAATGAAAATTGGCAACAGCGTGATGGTGTAGCCATGAGCTCTCCTATAGCTGCTATTCTTGCGGATATATTCATTTCAAAATTAGAAACAAGACGTGTTTTGTATTTTTAATAAGAAACAAAATTGTCACTCAAATTCAGTCATAAACTCAACAACCAAAGAAAAAAGAAATTTACTTTGTTTTCTCGTACTACGGTTATGAAATCATCGAGTTAGGTCAAAGAATTCGGAAACTCACTGAAAAACTACTTCCAACTCTTACAATGAATTTGATCTATCGGAAATCATCTACTTTGAAAAATATTTTCTGACCAATTCAAAAAGGAACTGACGACACTCAAAAGAAGAAAAAACTCGCCTATTGCGTAAACTGTAAAGACTGTAATAAGAAGTACATAGGCGAGACTCATTGTATGAAAACGACTAGAATGACAGAACACAAGAACGATATTCGTAAAGATAAAGTAACATCACTGATGCTCAACACTGCAATGCCAACAATCATACAATGGACTTTAATACGTTTTAGTATCAAAGAAAATTTTCGTTTTGTCTGTTTGTGATTCGAAAGCTATTTGAACAAGTCATGTCTTCCACTTGACTTGATCAATCACGTATATTCTCTACACTGGTTGTTAAATAAAATGTAAGATTTGACTTTTTTCGGCAATTTGCGGTCTAAAAATGCTATATGTCTCACATATGTCACCTATGTGCGGTAGACGCGAACACATTTTCTGCAATAAGTTATAGACTCATAATTTTATATGTTCTTTCTCGATGTCATCACTCTAAAAAATGAAAAATTTTGAATGTCTTGGCAAGAAAGTGATAGATAGCCAGGAGAAAACGGCGGCAATTTATTTGAAAAGAACTGCTTGCTCAGGAAGGAACAATTACTTTTGTAAGATATATATCTTACAAAAGTAATTGTGTATATTATAACATTTGTGCAGAAAAAACCGAAATAGAAAGACTGAAAATTAAAAAGATGCTTGTTGTCCGTTCAGAGCAATATCATGGTCGAATATTACAACACATCACCACTTGATGCAAACCAGCTATGAATGAATAACAGATCATTGTCGTGTTGCTTTCCTAACTGAAAGAGTTATTAATGATCTTTCCCGTCAATCGATTTGGTTCAATTTTATTTTGTTTTCTTCGCTCGATTTTAACATTTCACTTCTTCAAAAATATATCACCGGACTCCAAAATTTTCAAACGCGATTAGAGTCCGGGGGAAGGCGATATTTGGAATCAGCGTGGTCGATTGCCTATGGGTCCATGATTTTTAGTCCGGGGTACTTCCGAAAATTAAAGTCGGGGGCCTTAAAAAAAAATTCGAAAAATATTTACGCGCTGACGAGGATTCGAACCTCGATTCTGTCTCATCATAAACAGACGTTTTATCTATTGTGTCACAGGCACACTTCACTATATGCGAAACACTATCAACCCCGTTTATTATAGCAAAAGCCACGTCGAATACAGCCATGCATGGTGGTATTTCGAAGATCGACTAAATAGTCTTTTGCAACAATTATGTCATCTTATAGGTGTGAAAAATGAAGAAGAAAAGTGTTCAATGATAGGAAATCAGGATCAGCAACACACTTATACAGATGCAGTTTTCCACAAGGATTTCGAAAATCACCTTGGTGAGACTTAAAAAGGAGATAGTGCGGAGAAAAACGCATTTTTTTGCATGATCATGCTAAATTCGTGCTAAATTTCGATAATCGTGAATTTACTGAGCATTTACCATTGTTGCTCTCTATTACAAGACAAAAACATCATAACTTTTGCGTTTAGTGGCAGCCGTCATAATAGTATGTTTTTGCAGTGGAACCTGTTCCTTGTATAGTCCAACCCATAAAACGTCTTTTTTTTCCTATGATCTAGCATATAAGTTTTAAAGTCCATTTTTTTTAATGATGGATTAAATTCTGTGCAGGTTATGAGATGACTAGAGCCAAAAATCCAAGTATTTCTTGATAATTTAAATATACGAATTGTTTCTTTAGCAATTTTAGAGAATGAAAAATAATTATTGATACCAACTATGTTATTTGGGATAAGTATGTATCATAAACATAAATTTTTAAATTGATTTTCAAATGGTACTGGACAGCTGCAAAACATCAATTCATTGACAATGGTACGATACAGCCTATTTATGGATTAGCCTGTCTTCATAAATCCAGTTTCATAAATCACACATTTATGAAACCTTTTACAAGGTTAAAAAATGGTGAATTGTTGACGTTTTATACAACAAATTGCACTTTATAAAGAACTGTATTCTAAAACAAAAACATTCATTAAAAATCGTAAACTAAAATAAAAAAATGTTCAACGTTTTCGAAATATATACACGGTAAAAAAAACCGTGAAATTCATGACGGTTTTTATACGCAGTTTCTCGCAGTCAGTTTGCCACGGTTTTGGTTTCGCACGTTTTTTTTTGCTATGGTTTTCCTTCTACAGACTTTATTATGCGCTTTTACTCCTATGGTTTTGCTTTCACGCTTTCAGTGTTATAGTTTTGGCCGGACGCTTTTACTATCATAGTTTTGATTTTATGGTAAAAGTTACACGGTTTCGATGTCACTGTTTTGTCCCGCACGGTTGTCACTCCACGCTTATACTTTGACTGTTTTGACTTGATAGTTTTGCTTTTAACAGTTTTGAATTTCACGATTTTATTTTCATAATTTTATTTTCACAGGTTTATTTTTATAGTTCTACTTCTACAGTTTTATCTAAACTAACAAAAAGTCTGGT